GATATGCATTTATTCCCTACATCATTACATATTTCAAATTTGTTAAAACTTTAATACAAAACATGGCATAAATGCATCACTATTTTCCGTATTTTCATAAATCTACGAAGAAATTAAATATGTATCCCCCTAAAAATGAACGAGAATATGCTCCTTGTATAACATAAATATTAACATTTATTCACTAATTTTAATTCTGCACCCACATTTTACATAAACTCTACAATTTGTCCACAAAGACAGACCACAACGTTGTGACTTTGCCAGCCAGCACATTTTCTCCCATCCTGATTATGTTTCTGATGGCTGACTATAAGGAAAAGCTCTTCTTCATTATACAGAGAACATTTTTTTCGTTTTTCATAAATGTCATATATTCATGGCTGCAAAAAAACGTGTAAGAATAGTTTGCAGAGTATGTGGATGGGTGTGCCGTGTCTGTTTACATTATTATAACAACTACCATGAGTATGACGACTACCACAGCAAGTGTGTGTATGTATGTATAGGTGATGGCTTAGTGGGGGACCTGAAAGGGAAAAAATAGTTGGCAAAACTAACAGCACTAAATGTGACATTAAGAAATGTACGAGACAACCGGTTAGTTCTATGAATACCCAGTAAAGTGAATGAATGAATTGTGGCACAAATGAATACCGCCTTTAAGAATGAAAATGCTCCTCGTTATGGTAACAACAATAAAAAACAAACTGACAAAATCATGGACAAACCACAAGCAAAAGTACAACTGAATGAGGAGACAAAAACAACTACCACAACAACAACAAAATACTGCTGTGTATTTTAACAAACCGCTGTGAAAAGTGCACACTCAGGGCTGTCACTGAATGTTGTAAAGATGATAGGCGGTTTATAATAGTAGATTCGGAAAGCAGCTAAATAATATAAATGCATAAACTTTAATAATAATGGTATTTTGTAATGTTGAAAATGGGATACCATTATGCTTAACAATTGTATTTCGAAATGTAAGCTTATTAAATATACACTATACAAACATTAAAAGTAACGAGTAACCAATAGTCCTATATCGACAAATTTCTGCAAAGATGATTTGCACTATCCAAGAACCCAGAATGTCATATTATAGCCATTTTTTTTAAATATGGGTTAAAAATGGGCCTATGTCGAAAAGTTTCCAAAAATATATTGTTCCCCTTCAATAATCCGGAATGCTTCACTTCGATGGGATACTGTGTCTAGAGACCGAAAATAGAGGCTATGTCAAAATGTGGACATATATTGGTAATTACACATATATATACACATACCATTCTGAAATCTATGAAAAATGCCATGTCAATCGGGAAACTTGGATTCGTTGATGTACATATGTATTTGGACCTAAATGAGCAACAAATGGCATATACCATTTGTTATAATGCAGCACTGTGCGCTGTCCAAATTTTTTTCTCGTGTATATGGAACAGACTTAGATTCCATTTACATAAAAACAGACGAAAATATATATGGAAGATACATCCAAATCTAAACCGATTTTAGCAACTTTAATATACATCACACTAAATTCACAACTTCTAAATTTCGTGTAAATCGATATAGGCTGTGAGGCTCTTCATTGCACCATTTACATAAAATGGGACAAAAATTTATTAGGAAGCTTTATCAAAAACTGAACCGATTTCAACAAAACTTGGCATACGTCCATCTGGACCTAACTCAGTACACAGCGCAAAATGTTGTCACAGTTGGACAAATATTGGGAGCTTGGTGTACCATCTAAAAAAATCGGACGAAACTATATGTGGAAGCTATATCTAAATCTGAACCGATTTCAACAACACTTAGCATAAATCAATATGGATCTATTTCAGTGCGCTATGCAACATTCTTCCTTAATCGGACAAATATATGGAAGCTATATCTAAATCTGTACCGATATCAACAAAACTTCACAAACATTAAACTGGACCTAATCAGGTACGATGTGCAAAATGTCATCTCGATCGCACAAATATTAGGTGTTTAGTGCACCAATTAGCTAAAATCAGGAGAAAATATATATATGGGTTTTTTCTTTTCTCCAATTTCAATAGGTCCTTGGGCCAAATAAGTGAATTGTGGCGACAAACGGACGGACAAGAAATTTTGCAATACAAGAAACTGATGGTAATCGCTTGTTGCCAAGTCCGGACTGTATGGCGGATGCATTAAAACTTCCCAACCAAACTCCTTAGGTTTCTGGCGAGTCACTGCAGATGTGTGTGGCCTAGCGTTGTCCTGGTGGAACACGACACCTCTCCTGTTGGCCAATTCTGGCCGTTTCTGGGCAATTGTAAATGGTTTAATACAGTTTTATGGTAGATTTTTAGCTCCGGTAGATTTTACGACTGCTAAAATGCCGGTCAACTTCGATTATCTCTCCGATTTTATCGACATTTTCGACGACCGACGACATTTTTAACACCCTGTAACTCACAACTGAATGCACCAAATAAAAAACAGCAAAAAACTTGTTTACTGGGAAATGTCACCCTTCCAACGAGCATAAATCTGAAATTTGCCGAAACAATAATGCATTTATTTTGCTGCAGGGCCAGCCACATGCTAAGAAATATGGATAATTATTCTTTATGGATAATGGATAATTATTCTTTAGCATGTGGCTGGCCCAGGCTCAGTGGTCATTTCGAAAGGTCTCTAAGGATTGGGAAAGTGTTTCAGTGCCGACATTTTTAAAAGGTTCCTCGATATCCAATATGGTATACCACCTCGTGCATATATGCCTTCCCTTTGAGTGCGCATGAAAACCGTTGCCTTTTGTAGTTGAGAAGGTCTGGTGTATTGGGACGATATCTTCCAATAGTTTTCTCAGGGCTCTTTGATGACTCAAACTCTAGCATTAGACTTTGGAAATTCCCGACTTTTTTCATTCTCGGGAAATCGGGAATTCAAAATGTTCATTCTAGATGCAAAAGAACCCTTCTGTAGGACATTCAGAATAATTTTTTCATGGCGTTCGCCCTACCTGAAACAGTTTCTACAATGTGGGTTTCAAAACATAATTCCAGCAGTTTTTCTTCAATCATTTTTAGAATATTGAAAATGCCTTTTATATAAATCAGTTTTAAAATGAGTATCTTCCTCTTATACACAAATTAAAATAGTGTCCCCTTGTAGTTGTTGTATTATCGGTGGTAATTAATACGACGAATGGATCAATTCTGCTTATGCTTTTAGTATTGAAATTTTTAATTCTGTACTTATATTTATTTAGAAATGTTAAATAGTATCGGGAAATCCCGGGAATATCAAAAAATCGGGAAATCCCGGTAATGTGCGGCACTGGAATTCCCGATCCCAAACCCCAATAGCCCCCCTTGAAACTGCAACTATCTACATTAATGGGGTCCCTCCGCCGTTTGAAGCAGGTTATCCATGATCTTATTATTGACCGCATCCTTCGCCCCCTTAGTTTTCCATGCGCTGTTTTCGCCGTAACTCACGAAATTTAAAAATGAAGATTCCGATCTCGTAATTTAATTGTTCATAGTATCCAATAAATTCTTGTCATTGTCATCATTCGAATGGCTTATCATATGTCCCGCAGTTTGAAAAGTTTCAGATCATTATACACTACATAATCTACACGCATACAATATATATATATATATATATATCGTAGTACTGATTACCACAAACTGTTCCATTGTTCACATAAAATGGATATATGCAGACATATTTCATTATCAGAAACAAAACAACATAGAAAATAAAATGAAATATGCTAAAATCAACAAAATTAGGACAACAAAAATTAAAAATTGTTTCCAACTCCATTGAAATCAGATGATGTTAGTTTCGTTGTTCATTATAGGATGAACAATGAATATAGCAAGTCATATTTCATATGAGCTTAGCATGTGTTGTCATAATGTGGTGAAAATTTAAACCTAATGGTTATAACACAAAATGTTTTAACAATAAAATTGTATTGTTAATAATATGGACATGTTGCTTTTTCATGGTTACAATGAAATAATAATGACTTGTTTTATTTTGCTCATAAATCACTCTAATAAGCCATCGCCACCGCCACAAAAAAAATAATTAAAAACATATTGGGAAGTATAATTTATATGTTTGTGATAAAAAAAATAAATAAAATATTAAATTGCTTAATGCAGGAACATAAAATTTAAGTTAATAGCAATTGAACAATAATATTATCTATTTTCTCTTTCCTTATTTGGGATTTTGCCTGTAATTTTCTTTAAATCCCCGCCATTAAATAAGTATTACTGAAGGTCACAACAATCATCTCGTCAAAACAAACGGATTTGTGGTAATCCAAAGTCAGCTACCACTCTCTACTTGACAATACACTTTAGCCACAAAGATTTCATTAAAGTTTTTCCTCATCTAAGGCGCTTCTCACAACAGTTGTGTGTGTGTGTGGGTATTTATTCTGACTTGTATAGCAACAAGTTAATTGCAACAATAAGAGAATTAATTTTCATAGCTAGTCATTTTGTAAGTTTTCCAATTATAACTGTACAACTTTTTTGCAATAATTAAGACAACGAGCGCTGAAGTGCCTCATTAAATAATGTTTTGCGTAAGATACTTATGTATGTAACCTTCCTTTAATAGTTACCTACATTTTGAGATGGCTTGCGAACAATGATGGAAGTGCGTGATTTTGAAAATATTTATATACTATTTTTGCTAATTTAATAGACTATTAATAATATGCTGTTTAATAGATATATCTAAATCTGAACCGATTTCAACCAATCTTAACACATATTATTCATGACTCAATGGCATTGGGTATGCAAACGTTCGTATAAATCGGACAAAGATAGGCTCTTCGGTACACCATTTACATCAAATCGGATGAAAATATATATGGGAGTTATATTTAAATCCGAGATTGGTGTACCATTCACATAAAATCGAGAGCTATGGGGGCTATATCTAAAACTGAACTTATTTCAATACATCTTCGCATACATCAACCTGGACCTAATTCTCGTATCATTTGGCCTGACTTTGGGTCTTTGGAAATCTTTAAAGAAAATAGGACTAAAAGATATATGGGAGCTATTTCAAAATCTGAACCGATATTCTTCAATTAATAGGGTTCGTCCTTGGGTCAAATAAGTGATCTGCCTATTTCGTTTCTTTTTGCCTGTTACAAACATATGCACAAAGACATAATGTGGTGAAGGGTATAAATATTGACGTTGTATAAAGTATTCAATATAGATTAGTCTTGAAAATCTTACGAGATCTTATCAAATTTCGTGAGTAACGTATCTTCGATTTGTAAATTTTTTCTGTTATGTTGGTACACTTGTCTGGCAACCATTTCGTATAGTCAATTTTTTTCTGACAGATAAAAAAAAAATTAGCCCTTTTTCATGTGATCTTCTGTATTTTACTAGTCAAATAAAATGGATCGAAGAAATTGTATTGAGTTTTGTTTAACAAATGTGGCGTTTGGCGAGTTGTCTATGAAACGGAAATGGTCGCCCTAGCACATCAGCCACAGTGAACACAATGCTTTTTGGATAAAATGCCAAAAAATGAGTTCTTGGCCAACCACCGTATTAACCGGATTTGGCGATAAAAAAGAAAAATATTAAATCAGAAGCTCTTGGTTTTACCAAAATGCTAGTTTCGGGAGTTTTTCGAGGATTGGACAAAACGCCGGCCAAAGAGGTTACTTTTGAGGGAACAATATAGGTATTGTTGAATGTTTTTGACCAGATATTAACAGGCCTTGTTCGGGCACAACTCGGATGTATTCTTTGAAATAAATTTCTTAAGTGAATGGTACACCAATCTCGGAGTTAGATATAACTCCCATATATATTTTCATTCGATTTGATGTAAATGGTGTACCGAAGAGCCTATCTTTCCCACTATCATGAAGTGTATATTTAATTTGTCTTTACATTTGCAACACTTCGAGTCTGAATAAAATTATATGTCGATGGTATGAATACAATTATATGAGAGGTGAAAACATATTTGCAGAATATTTTCAATATACGTCCCGTCGTATTTTCGGCCTACTAAGTAAGTGGCTGTAGTTTAGCATTCCATACTTCTGGGGACTAAATAGCCCTTATATAAAAGTACGGCTTATTTTCGTTAAACAGAAAAACTAATTTAAGAAATATTTTGTTTTTGAAAAAAAAACAGGCTGAATTCTAGTTCGTTGTTTTCAAATAAAAAACTATTTATAAGTGGGGAAAGTATGACATTGTCCACCAAGGGGTATGACAGGGAAGACTATAGTTTCGGACTATAGTTTCACTGATCCTCATCAGTTCCCTTAGTTTTTTGTTGGGGATATCCTTACCAGAAGCTACTACAAAAGCTTTACAAAAAACCTTTTAATAAAGCGAAGTACTTAGCTGGCCAACGAAATAAACTGTATGATAATTTCGCTGGTGCCTCACTTCGAGTTTAACAACAATAAGAAACCGAAAGTTGAACACTGTATAGAAATGGTATAATGACGCAAAACAAGAAACATGTAAGTATATTAGAACACATAGAAACAAAAAAAAAACAAAGAAGGAAATACTAGGTTGAAGAAAAGGAAATCCATTTGGTCGGTCCGCGAAAATGTCGACAAAATCGGAGAAATGATCGAAGTCGACCGGAATGTTAGCAGTCGTAACATCGCCCAGGAGCTAAAAATCGACCATAAACCTGTTTTAAACCATTTACACAATAAAAAAGAAGCCATACCAGAAGAAGTACCATATCAAAAAATAGGATGGATCAAATTTCCATCTGCGAAGCCTTGGCCAAACGGAATGAGAATAATTTCTTATACGTACGGTGACCATGTGTGAAAACTATTGGTGGGATTATTTATTATGAGTTGCTTTCATATGGCCAAAAGCTAAGTTCTGATCTCTACTATCAACAACTGGACCGTTTGAAGATAGTAATTGACCAGAAACGAAAAGAATTGGCCAACAGGAGAGGTGCCGTGTTCCACCAGGACAACGCTAGGCCAAACACATCTACAGTGACTCGGGAGCTTGGTTGAGAAGGTTTAATGCATCCGCCATACAGTCCGGACTTGGCAAATGATTATCATATTTTTCTTGCTGATGATAAAAAATTGGTATTGGTATTGTGAAAGTCGACTAATAGAGTGTTTTGCAAATACAGAGAGCCATTATGAAGTTATTTTTAAAATGGCAATAAATCCTTAAACAAAACGGTGCATATTTGGACATCGGACATTCTGAAGCCTCTTAAATAAAGTTCTATAGTTCATATAAAAATAATGGATATTTTTTTCCATAAACTAATATTTTTAGTAAAAAGCTTAGGTTATGCAGAGTGTGGATCAAAGCAGATAATAGTTTCGCAGGATATTAATAATTTATTTTTTGCAAAGTCTTTACCATTTGTATGTAAGGTACCAAGATTAGTGGTCAAATATTCTCCATATTCGAATTTGATTTAGGCCTGAAAAAAATGTGTAAAGTTTGGCTTAAATCGTTAACTCTTTTCGAGAGTTATCATGCGCACTACCAGTGATGGAAAATAAAAAAATGTGAAAAGGTACCAAAAGAGTATTTTTTTTAATAAAAAAGTACTTTTTTCAAGAAAATACAAAAAAAAAACTTTTTTATTCAGTTTCATAAAGATGGATTTCCAAAATATCACTTAGTGTATCTTTCTCATGATAATATGTAGTAATTCTTGCTTCTTTCGATTGCATTTGAATATGTATGCTATTGACTAATTTTAATTTCAGTACCTCTTTCTCGAAAGCCAATATATCCCAAACTAACATGAATTTCAATTCCAAAGTGCTCTTGAAATTATTAAAGTAATCACGGCGACTAGGAATGTCATCAATTTGCCTACCTCAGGAGATAGCACAGAGTATGCCAAATTGAGTATCTGACAAACATATCAATTTAAAAAAAATTGGAACTCATTAACTTAATTTAATGTTTGTAATTTTAATCATAACTGAACAGTTATCAGTCGAAACCCTGTTCATTTTTTCAAGAGAAATATTGCAATCACATCAATATCTTAATCTGCATACTTTTGTCGGTCAAATCCATAACAAATTCTAATCCAAAAAATATATATATAATGGTTTAATTAAGGATTGGAATGGTACTGTAATGGTCACGGGGGTACTACGGTACATTTTTGGTTAAAAAGGTACTGAAAAAAGTACTATTGTACTGAATTTTCCATCCCTGCGCACTACCCAGCCAGACTGACATTTTTCCTCTAGGCTGGTGAGTATCATATTATCCATTCTATTCAATATCTGGATAAAAATACCTAAGTCAGTGTGACATTTATTTGAGCCTAAATGCCATTATCTATGTTATAATTTCATATAAAACATGTTATGTTGGCATATAGAATTATAGATGTATGGCATTACACAGTCACAACTTAATGCTTCATTTCATAATAGCTTGTGGTCCTTGTGGACTAAAAACATTAAAATATAACATAAAAAAACATGGCAATTTAACAACAACAGCCTCAGGATAATATCTCTTAAAGCTATGTGGGTGCTTTATGTGAGATTGAAAAAAAAAACAGAAAATAAAATCAAATCATTTATTTGTATGTGATTTTAAAATATAAAAACATTAATTTCGCCAATGGCTAGGAATCATTCCAATGCCGAATACAAATAACAGACATACGGTCATAGATACAAACACACATGCATAAATACACCTAACTACGTACATATATGTGAATCAATTCCACAAATTTGTTCATACATTTGTCTGGTACTGGCATGCTTTGTTGTATATATATATATATTCCAATAACAACATATCACATCCGTATTAAAACAAGACAATATAAATCACTGTTCACCAAACAGGCGCCCGTGGGCGCTTTGGGAGAGTACCAATACAATCACAGTTCTGTGTTCGAACTCAACATTATTCTCGACATCGAACATGTTGTATGCTTTGCAATGCTTTAACATAGACGATCTGTACCGAGAGAGCGAAAATTACTCTCCTAACGGATCTATGCGTGTGTCCAACACAATCATAGCAGTTTGCATATGTATTGTTGGCTAACCCTGATATAAATATATATGTAGGCATGTATGTATGTGTACGTTTATGTATTTGTGATTGTATGAAGATTTCACCTAACGTATGTTTAAAGTATTTTGACATTTGATTGATTGCAGTTGACAGAAAATTGAAAAAAATGTATGTCCTTTAAACACAATTGAAAATAAACACCCAACCCATATCCTCCTCCTCCACCAATGCAGAATCCTAATTCACATTGACAAAAATTGATTGTATTTCAACCTACTGAGGCTTTTCAATTGAGAATTTTAACATGCTTTTATATTTCATTCATTCTTTGTTTTGTCTTCTCTTTTTTATTTACAGGTATTCGGTTCGCCCAGTACACCAATATTGGAAAATCCCGAACATCAGACACGTTGGTATTTCAAATATTTTTTGGGCAAATGTAAGTAAATCAATTTGATGAAATAAAAGTTGTCAATAGATATTTAAGTGAATGTGTGTGGTGTTTTTGTGTGGGTGTATGCGTATGTGTGTAGTAAATAAATACAATTTCCAAATAAAATATCGTATTTAAAATGGATCATTGTTAGACTCATCAATGAAATTGGTATATTGTATAAAAACATAGACACATGAGTATGTGCCCACCTACATAGATATGTACGTAAGACCATTAGGATTTCAAATGACCAATATTTTGGATTTTCTTTAAAACTCGGATATCTCTAGGCTGCCACTGCCATTCATAATTAATTCGAAACATATCAAATGTTATTTTTTTAATAATATTAAAAATGATACGGATAAGAATAGATCAACCACAACAACTAAAAACGCTGGGTCGAACTTTTTATACACACCAACATATGTGATTCAAAAATTCCTAAAACGCTCAGGATTTTTATATGGCGACTATGTCATTGTAGTTCCAGACACTCAAGATGGAAACATGTGCTAGTAGTCTCAACACATCGAAAATTGGATGGGACCTTTACATGGTGGCTATTTAAAAGCACGGCAATATAAGAAAATATAACACTTTCTGCGAAGTAATACAACAGGAATCCATAATGTCAAATTTCAGTAGCTTTGTGGAAACATGCGGCTAAAATCTTCAAAATACCGAAAATTAGGGGCACTTTGTTAATATAGGGACGTGACAAAACATGGCCTACCATCAAACATCTTCTGCAAAGATGTTTTCACTCCACTCAATACTGAGTGCCAAATCACAGGTACTTCGGTGGAGAATTTCGGTTTAACCATCAAAATACCGAAAATGAGGAGACTCTTCCTGTATGTGAGCGGAACCATGCGAATGTGGTTGTATATTGATGGGGAAATTTTGCTATAACTTCAAATAACGAAAACCGAGAGAGTTATCCCCTACGGGATATGTCAAAACTTGGCCCTATATCGAAATATTTTTGCAAACTAGTAATCATCCTCCAAGAACCCGGAGAAATAACTTACCGCCACAATTTTACACCAGGAAGGAAACCTGGCCAAAGAATAAGCTTGACTGTTTTGAAGAAGATCAGTCAATATTTATATTCTGGAGCGTATATAGTTACTCCTGAAGGACATATACCCGGGAAGTTGATAGTATATCCAAGAGAATGGTTGACCCTGATATGGATACTAATTATATTCATCTATGTACTCGGATGTTGGAGTTATGTGTGGAGTCTATGTGTTATGATATTTTTTAGTAATACATTTTCGCCCCAATAGAGGGGCCCCAATAGAGAGTGAAAATGTCGCCCTTGTTGCTTTGAAATAATACATGAAGTTGCGGTTATGGTCAAGGACGATGCCTATAAATTTCGGTGATTTTGAGATGCTATTTAGGGGGTGTAATAAATCGAAAACTTTATTTTTGTTTGATTTTCTAGTCGCTTAGAGGCTATTATATGCCGAACATCACATATTTTACATGGTTAAGGGGATCTGACCAAATATTTAAAACGCCTGTTTAGATGATGATCAATCCATATTCCGAGGGTTAAATCAGGCAAAACTTGAAGTGACCAAATTTATATTTTATGGCGCAATTATTCATCTCGGAAAAGGAAAATTTGGAAAATATGCCAAGGCTAAAAAGTGGAGCTGTTGACCTTTAATGAGGCAAAAGGGAGCAAACATCGCGAAATATTACCCACTCTCAGAATATAGAAACGCAGAAAATTAAATTTTCGTGGTTGTTGTGTAGGGTTGGCCCCGTCCGATTATACTGGCCCGCACATTGGTTCTATTCTAGGTATAGAGAATTCGTCAAAGAAAAGAATTTGTAGACTTCGTAACTACTCCTACCATATTTGATATTGCGAAAATGTCTAATATAGGTCCTCAATATAGAAATTCCGCCCCATCCTGAATGTTTTCATTGTCGCTGGCACATTGTCCCGTCGTAGTTACTGTAATTTGGCATTGCGGGGTTAAAGCAAAATTCAATATAGATTCATGGTACGACAAATGATCCCACCCCATTGTAAACTACACAACCCCGCGAAATATTGCTCTTAGACTCACCTTTTAGAATACTGGTCGTCATATCTGGACTAGCTGAGGCGATCTAGACATGTGTGTCCGTCTGTCCACAGTTGCGTACCAATAGTTATGAAATTTTGCAAGTAGGTTGCGGCAAAAGAAAAATGACCGGTCAAGGATCAATTACTATATGTTTGTATGTTTTCGCTCTAAAGGCTACAATTACGACCCGAACATCATGAAATTTTAAACAGAGAAGGAAATGATAATCGCTCAGTATTTCGCGGGTCAAACAGACCCAGACTTTTGTATGAAAAAAGTCAAATTATACATTCTATGGCGTGTATTTTTACCCCGGAGCAACATAGACAGGGAAGTTCACGTATATCATTGGATTCTAGAATTATACATAAATATAGACAGGGAATTGTTGATATGGTTAAGTATTATCATTGCACCACTAGAAGGTGGAAACGTCGCCATGATCGCAACGAAGGTAACTTAAAAACAATATTGCCCATTTCCAAGACATGCTACTGATATACATGTGAGAAATATTTTTGTCTAATAGGTTTACTCTCAATCGAGACGCTAAAGGGGTATTTTCAAATCAGGTAAAAAATAACTGTTATTATGTGACCTATTTCCAGAGATGATTTTTAACTGAAAATTCATTTAAAATGGGGTTATAGCAAAAATAAAAGGTCAGAATATTCTACCAAAATTTTCGCCATAAAAGTCTTTTTGTATTTTTATTTTTTCCGTCAAAAATAAAAGTCCTTTTATATTAAACATTAGAGTTTGTATATGAACTTTGATAGGACTTTATTTAATATGCTTCACACACTATGTTGTCAGGCATGTCCGATTTGCACCGATTCTTTGCCATTTTAATCTAATTTGGTAACCTCTCTCATAGAAGTCTTGCTCTCTATTTGCAAAAAAGGGATCGGGCGAGAATAAGCATGCATGTTTTGATAAAGATCGGTCAATTATTTCAAATCCCTGACTTTTGTGTGAAAAATGACAAAATTTGTATTCTATGGCATATATATTTACTCCTGGAGGATGTAGACCCTAGGAGTTGATAACATATCCAAGAGGAGTGGTTGACCTTTAAATTGATACCAAATATAGTGATGTATCTACTCAGATGTGGGAGTTACAGTCAAATATTTACAGGTGCTTACGTATTCAGATATTATTTAGTAACCCATTACCACATTAGAGGGTGAAATATCGCGCTGATGACTTTGGAATATTTCATGAAGTTCCAGTTATGGTCAAGAACAACGCCTACAATTTTCAGTGATGATCAGATTAAAATTTTGGGATGAAATGGACCGAAAACATAATTTTTGTATGTTTTCGAGTAGAGTATAATCCGAAAATCACAACACAACCCACCGTGAAGGTAATCTGGACAAGTAATTATAAGGACTAGACTGAATATTCGAAAAAAAGTAAGGAAGAGGTGTTTTTGGCCTCTAATTGGAAAAGAGGGGGCAAATATCTCGAAATATTACTCAGACTCGGAATAAACGTCCTCAGAAAGTTAGAGTTCGTGGTAGTTGTGTAGGGTATCGTATGGTCGGCCCCGTCCGACTATACTGCTCCGCTCACTGGTTTAAAAATTTATAACAAATATTTTTTACCTTTGATCTTGATTACTTATGTGTACACTTATTGTAATAAGGGCAGAAATTTATAAATTGTAATTTTATAACTGATTACAAGTTGTATAAACTTCTTTACATAAAAAGAGTTTTATTTCCTGACGGAAAAAATAAAAATCCCAAAAGGACTTTTATTTTCTGACGGAAAAAATAAAAATCCCAAAAAGACTTTTATTTTTGACGGAAAAAATAAAAGTCCCAAAAAGACTGTTATTTTTGACGGAAAAAATAAAAGTCCCAAAAAGACTTTTATTTTTGACGGAAAAAATAAAAATCGCAAAAAGACATTTATTTTTGACGGAAAATATAAAAATCATTTTTAACAGTTAAAAATCAACGTTTATATTTTTGTCTAATAGGTTCACCCTCAATCGAGACGCTGAAGGGGTATTTTTGGTCCCCTTTTCAAGAGATGATTGAAAATTCATTTAAAAGGGGTTATAGCAGGTCAGAATATTCTACCAAAATTTTCGCCATAAAATGTATATTTAAATTCCGTTATTTGTATATGAAGTATAGGACTTTATTTCAGGGACCGTAACGGTTATAACTTATATCAAATCAGGTAAAAAATAACTGTTATTATGTGACCTAAATAAAAAATCCACTTTAATTAATTATTTTTTAACGGAAAAAATAAACGTTGATTTTTAACTGTTAAAAATGATTTTTATTTTTTCCGTCAAAAATAAAAGTCTTTTTGGGATTTTTATTTTTTCCGTCAAAAATAAAAGTCTTTTTGGGACTTTTATTTTTTCCGTCAAAAATAACGGTCTTTTTGGGACTTTTATTTTTTCCGTCAAAAATAAAAGTCTTTTTGGGACTTTTATTTTTTCCGTCAAAAATAAAAGTCTTTTTGTGATTTTTATTTTTTCCGTCAGAAAATAAAAGTCCTTTTTACGTAAATAAACATATAGAGTTTGGTACCAGTTATATAACCTTTGACCTAATAGTCAGGGGAATGATTCTTTAATTTATATCGATGATTTGGTACACTAGACTATTTTTTAAAAATCTATAACAAATATTTTTTACCTTTGATCTTGATTACTTATGTGTACACTTATTGTAATAAGGACAGAAATTTGTAAATTGTAATTTTATAACTGATTACAAGTTGTATAAACTTCTTTACATAAAAAGAGTTTTATTTCCTGACGGAAAAAATAAAAATCCCAAAAGGACTTTTATTTTCTGACGGAAAAAATAAAAATCCCAAAAAGACTTTTATTTTTGACGGAAAAAATAAAAGTCCCAAAAAGACTGTTATTTTTGACGGAAAAAATAAAAGTCCCAAAAAGACTTTTATTTTTGACGGAAAAAATAAAAATCGCAAAAAGACTTTTATTTTTGACGGAAAAAATAAAAATCATTTTTAACAGTTAAAAATCAACGTTTATTTTTTCCGTTGAAAAATAATCCTTAACATGGGAACTGAGACTGTTTTCTCAAGATCACTCAATATCCTCAATGGGCTCCCCAGTACGAATCTATTGGTATATGACACTATTAGTGTCCCATGTCTCTAACATGAAGATTTTTTTGTTCGCATTTTAAAAAAATAACTGTTATTTTCGGTCCCTGCTTTATTTAATATGCATCGACATGTCCGATTTTCACCGATTCGTTACCATTTTAAAGGTAACCTCTCTCATAGAAGTTTTGCTCTCTATTTGCAAAAAACTCGAGTAGTAGACTCATTAAAGAAATTTTGCAATACAAGAAAAAGATGACAATCGTTTGGGGCCAAGTCCGGACTATATGGCGGATGCATTTAAACTTCTCAACCAAGCTCCCGAAGTTTCGGGCGAGTCACTGTAGATATGTGTGGCCTAGCATTGTCTTGGTGGAATACGACACCTTTCCTGTTGCCAAATTCTGTCAGGTTCTGGTCAATTGTAAATGGTTTAACAGGCAAAAGAAAACGAGATAGACACATGGTTCCTTTTGAGAATATGCATAAAATCACTTTTTAAGTCACTTTTTAATCCGTCTGTCTATGTTAAATTTTAAACAAAGTATAGGTCGAATTTTTGATTCGAATTGGATGAAATTTGGCACAGCTCATTTATTTGGCCCAAGGACGAACCCTATTTAAATTGGGAAAAATCGGTTCAGATTTAGATATAGCTCCCATATATATTTTCGTCCGATTTAAGGTAAATGGTGCTCCAAAGACCCTATATATCTGTCGATTTGTGCGAAATTTGGTATAACGTACTAAATTGAGCCTAGAATGATGTCTGCCAAGTTTCGTGAAAATCGGTTCAGATTTAGATATAGCTCCCATATATAGTTTCGTTCGATTTCATGTAAATGGTGCATGTTTCGATTTGCACGAAATGTGTCATAACGTACTGAATTGAGCCTAGAATGATGTGCTCCAGGGTCGTGAAAATCGGTCCAGATTTAGATATAGATGCCATATATAGTTTCGTCCGATTTCATGTAAATGGTGCACCAAAGTCCTATATATCTTTCGATTTGCACGAAATTTGGCATAACGTACTGATTTGAGCCTACAGTGATGTCTGCCAAGTTTCCAGAAAATCGGTCCAGATTTAGATATAGCTCCCATATATAGTTTCTTCCGATTTCATGTAAATGGTGCACCAAAGTCCCTATACATCTTTCGATTTGCACGAAATCTGGCATAACGTACTGAATTGAGCATACAGTGATGTCTCCCAAGTTTCGAGAAAATCGGTCCAGATTTAGATTTAGAACGGTATCATATAGTCGGCCCGTCCGACTTTTTGGTATAAAAATTTTATTTCGGGTTTCCATTTACATTTCTTTACATAATGGAAGACGGACCTACATAGAGTCCGTGTTTTGATATTGTCTCGTTAATTGCGATACCTAATACCAACTGTGGATCCAATTATAACAAAATAGTATACTAAAAAATAGTATACTAATTATGACCTAATATTCAGAAAATACCGCCTAAAGAACTTCTATGCAAACAATAGTTTTCATACTAAGTTTTCCTAAGAATAACACCGAATATAAAGTGAAAACAAATTAAGTGTATATTGTTCAAGAAATTATCTACAATTTTGCATATCACTTCATCTCATCACTTCTGCAGAAAAATGCTTGGATAATCAACATTTGTTTACTTTGTTGCTTATTTCAACAGAAAAAATATATTCTTTTTAATCCCATGAAAGAGATATCATACCTTAGGATAAACTAAACTAAATATCTGCAACATTTTGTTACCTTAAGTAAGGCAACACCAACAACAAACACATTTAATTTGTGCTCAATACACGTTCTGCTCGAAGAACATTTTCTTCAAAATGAATTGCATTGAATCATTCCACAGCAGGAGATTTTCTTTTGTATTGTTGAGCATTTTCTGCAATTTTCTTTAGCAAATTGTCTTACTGTTATTTTTTTTTTCTTATTTGTCTGTTCTATTTCTTTTCATATCTCCACCCTCTCTCTCTCTCTCTCTCCTTGTGGATGCTGCCGCAGTACATCAAAACTATGTTGGCATTGATGCTGAAAAAAGTCCATACTTTTTATCGGTTGTTTCACAGGACTCGGGCAATCAAGGAGCTCCCATGTACCGAGCCATACTCTTTCGCAAACAGGTAAGTGGAAAAAGTGAAAAAAAATACTAAATTCAAGGTAATGAAAAATATCACCAGCAGCGGCATCTGGTTGAAAGGTAAAAATTACTCTCGATACAAAACAGCACGTAGCCGAGAAAATGAAACAAAAACAAAATCCATTTGGCACATATCAAAACTTTTCGGTGAATGCTTTCAAAATATTTTCGTTTGAGAAAATGTGCTATGAGATATATAGAGAGAGGCATGTTTTTTCAGATTACTTCAAATTGACTTTAAGAAAGTGAAAGGGTAGTAGTTGGATCAAAAAAATTAAAGGCTATTTGAGGATGGATAGATGATGGGGTTGACCTGGATTTAAGAGCTTAAATATCTTTCTTGCCTAATAATGAAAGTTTGCTTTTTTTTTTGGTTTTCAAAATATTCTTCAGTTGACCTATATAGACTATTTTATGCTCTCAAACCAATTGTCAATTTACTTTTATAATGCGATTGAAAACCCTCAAAAACCTCGAGTTTTTTTTGCCAGCATCTTTTGGTTGGAGCCGATTTCAAATTAACCTTCGGAATTTGATCCTCAGTAGTAGTATCAATTTATTATGATAGCCCACATCCTTCAAATAGACCTTAAGTCCACCAAGATTTCTTCCCACATTTAAAACATTCCCTTTACATATTTTTCCAACAGTTCACTATCTCATTTAGTATGTCACAACAGACAAGTTCCCCGAACATATCATTTATTTAATAATTCCACAAAAATAAACATTATTGTTTATATTTGATGTGGTGAACCCCAAAAAAACGCAATTCTATTGAATTCTCATGTGGGATGTTAAAGACAGACACATGTCAGGAATGCTACTATGCTTTGATCCGCCAACAATATTACAATCGCACACGCATTGCTTTAAAAAAAATCCACCCACTAAAGTGGATTTTTCGTTATGCCTTTGTCAAGCCTTTAGTAGTCTTTGTTTATTGTTTCGCGTTTTTCGCATTTGTTTGCTTGATTGTTATAGCCTTACAAAGTGCTATTTACTAAATGATTTTGTGATGAACTCAAAATTGGGGTTTCCTTCATGCGAAGTTCTGTGAACTTTTATTCAAAATCGTATGACATTTTTATTTGTATGTCGAAGGAATTTTATGGTAAACGAAATTGGGGAATTTGCAATATGTTGGTATTATGTTTTAGAAATTGTTTATATAATGTCTCCAAAATACTACAGAAGTAAACATTTACAACCAGAAAAATTATTTATAGAGGTCTACTACGAGAATATGTCGTACCGACATGTGTTGTGTTAATGGCCTTAACATGTGAACATTTTCGGACGGTCATATTTCTCGACCTTTGACGTGGTCATATTTCTCACGGCGGCTGACCGATGAACTTTAAATAATTTATTGCGATGAAGCATCATTCTATAAAAATGTGTAAAATAAACTATTGAATTTAAATATATAGTTTGTTTCGAGACTCATAGTGAAATTTAACGTAGAATATTTCATTCTTTGAAACTATGCACGAAAAATGAAGCCTCATGTTACTTTCATACAATTTGTCGAAGAAATACTGGCAAATTTCTATGAAAAAAAATTAATAAAATTTTTTTTGAATTAATGGAGAATATTTTTGTCCTTTATACCATCCATCAAGTCGGAATAAGATCGATTTTAACTCTAAAATGAGTTTTCATATTTTTAAGGTTTCCGACGTTTAGGCTGATTTTAGAATTTTGATGTATTCTGAGACTTATAGTAAAACTATATGGGGAACACTTTTGTCGAATATTCCGAACTGTGACTGATTTTCAATTTTGAATTTCTGGCAAGGAATATAAAAATGGCTAGAAACAAATACAGTACTCTGATAAAACAGCTAATTACCAGTCAATGTAAAAATTATTTATCACAGAATATGATTTCGGATAATCAGCGAATTATAACTTGATTTTATGCAACTATATCAGTAGTGACAGTTCAGCATGGAGGAAGGTGCAAAAGATCCCCAGTTCGTACTGGTCAATAAATGGTCATAGCTGTAAAAATACCAATTTAAGAGTTCAACGGAATTTGTGAGACGATTATCGTTGGAAATAACCTCAAGAACATAGCGTGGATGAGTCTAAATGCCCCGAAACTATCAAGAAAGCTCTTTAATTTCTGAAAAGAATCGGAAAGCCAGATTGGCTTCCTCAAAAACTCATACTTATTGGAATCCGAATGAAAGTATAAATGAATAGACACGAAAAAAAAACTTGAGAAGGTAAAAAAATGAAAGGCAAGAGTACTGTGAAGCATGGAGGTGGTTTCTTTCCCTCCCCTGAAGAAAATGTACCACCTGTTTGGGTGTTTCAACTCGAACATACATCGAAACCTGTCAAAGATTGATTGCTGAAGTACAAAAATCAGGGGTTTAAAATGGCTAACACAGTTATCTATCCTTTAAAATCTTTGAAGTAGATTATGAGGTAGATTTTGTCCCTTGGTGGTTGGATCATTTCTAAATGAACTGATATTTCATATAGTATATTTATAATGGCATGCCTCCCTTTTCGTATTGTCACAATATAACAGTGCAGCCAATTTTCAGTATTTTGAAGGTTTTTCGACCCATTTTGACTATAAATTGGTGGGTAAAACATTTTTTTTCAGAAATTTGTACAAACATTCTATCCCATTTTTTGAAATGCTGATAGTCCCATCTGTATTTTTGATCTAAGTGGCTGTAATTTGGTATTAGGATTTCGCGATTAAGCTACTTCTACCCAAAAATTTCAATACATTTTCTGCACCATTTCATGTATGCTCATGGTCCTAGGCACATTTTCAACCAAAGTGGATCAATTTCTTTCGACCTTTTTTGTGGTTATACAAATTGTGAATATGTGTTCATATTTTGACATACATACTTTTTCCGCACCATTTAATGTGTGTTCATGCCCCTAGGCATATTTAAACCAAAGTGGATCGCATTGGCTTCTTTGGGGGGTAACAAAATTGTGATTATACGTCCATGTTTTGACATATGTCCAATATAAGAACACAAACATGCATATAAAGGTACCGACCACTTTTAAAAATATACAGTGGCCAGCATCAAGAATATAAAAGGATAACATGATCTTAATACTACAAATGCCATTAAGGGGCAATATAGCGCTTAAAATTTCCTAAAAATTAATGGTCAGGACCCAAAGAAGAAAGCTTGGGTGACCTTTAAAACGTTTAATATTGTTTCCTCGGTTCATTTATTGACAGATTTAGACTCCATAATTTCCTATATTTTTCATTTATATATTTGCCGCCACATGGTGAGGGGTATTAAAGATCGGCCGAATCAAATATCATTCTAACATCTTGACAGGTCTCAATCTATTTCAATTCTTATTAAATAGGACTCAACTTCTAAATTATGGCCAAGGAGGAAACCTATTGAAATTGGTGGAAATTGGTTCAGATTTAGATATAGCTCTCGACCCTGTCCGATTATACGCTATCCTTGCATAAAGCATTAGAAAATCGTTTCTGATATATGGTTCTAAAATATGGTTCTACTCATTAATTTGGCCCATGGGGGAAACCTATGAAAATTGTTGAAAATCAGTTCTGATTTAGCTCTAGACGATCGAGTATGTGTCCGATTATCCGCTAATTTTGCGCTGTTCACTGACTTAAGTCTACTGCTTCTGGTCGCATGACCATTATTCAGAATGTCCGATTGACCGCAAATTTTGTTTAACACACTGACTATTCCAGCCCAGTTGAAAATAATACATAATTTCGCCCGAAGGTACTTTGGCTATTTGTTTTAGGATTTTAATTAGAAATATTTTAAACTTACCGGTCAATAAGCTTTCAGTATGGCTTTGCCAAGTTTGGAGAAAAAAACCAAACATTGGATCTAACAGCAAATTTTGTATGCAGTATTGTTCCCATCTTTCTGGAGTAGACTTTTGGGAAGGAGCTATAAATGAAAGAAGAGAATGAAATGATTTTTATTATTTGTAGTTACTAAAAATATACATCTTAAAAACAACTGCCTTTGGAGACCAATTAAATAACATCAAACTATCTATGATCTTAAAACTAAGTGCATTCTATAAACATCTGCTAATGTCAATGAATGTGGCAAAGGTAATCTTAGACATCAATATTGTGATAACAAGTTAAGATCAGAATGTGTGACCTCTGCTTTTTATGATAGGGCACATCTGCGAACACACTCAAGCACAACCGCAATCATAAAAGTTACAACAATGGTAAGAAGCCAGTATTTTACCCTGAACTTGATGACATTCTAAGGACACAGTGTTGTGAAAATGAAAAAAAAACCTAAATAATTTCATATTTCAAACCTAATAAATTCATAAAATATATTTTATTATTCCAGTATATTATATTAATATACAGATTTTAAACATTGTGGTCTATGAAATTATCCTGAGACGGGGGGGCTAAATATCAGACAGTTATATCAAATGCATGACTGCCGAATTTAGACCCCATATATTTGGGGGCGTACCGGGAGAAATTCAAATTTGAAAGTTTTATTTAATGAGTATCTTTTGTGGCGAAGTTATTCGAAAAAGTGAAATAGTTCGAAGGATTGTATAAACTGTCGGAAACGGAGTTGGTTCATAGAAACATATATTAACATATATTAATATTTCGATGAGGAACATTTTTTTGCCGCAGCAATGAGGTTGAGGTTCTAATTACACCACATCAAACTATACAAGCACATTGTGTACGAATGTAAACACCATTCCACTGTGCCCTGTCCTTAAAAATAGACTTATGACAAAAATAAAACGAAGAACAGAACAGAGCAAAACTACAAAGCCAACGACTACTACCCACATGGCACACATGGACGATTTAAGTTGTTCCCCATTTGTAAAAGAACAAAAAAAAAAATCACGTGAATTTTTGTTGTTGCTGTGGCCTGTAACAGCTCAGCTTCGAGTACCAAATGACAGTCATAAACTAAAGAAGAATAAACAACACACTTG